ACGTCTGTCTCCTGTACCTTTTTCCCCAGGTCGCTTCTCCGATTCACACGAGCTATCTGAGTTGGGTGAGTTGGGCCCTGGTCTGGGGAGGAGGGAAGGCTTCCAGAAGACATGATCCCCCTGGCTCCAGGTCCTAGGCTGCCCTCCAGATCAGCTGTCCCTTGATGTTCCCAGAGTTGGGAGATTTGTGAGGGCCTTGGCTGGCTATTCAGATCAGTGAGGCAGGAGAGCAGGCCCTGCTGTCAGGACTGATTTTCAGATGCCACCAGCTCCATGCTATAGGTGTCTCAGCAGTGTTTTTGTAGTTAGTGGGGGAAGTGATGAAAGGATGAGGTAGGTTTTGAAAGGTAGATGTGATATAGACCGTCAGTCTGCAAAGAGAACAAAGGTGAGGTGGGGGCCACACACTTGGCTGTTTGGAACATGACAGGCAGTTCTGAGCAGCTCTGAAGCCAATGCTGTCCAGCAGAACAAGAGCTGGCTTGTCACTGTAATCAGCTCCTTTCTTATTGGTTCATATGTCATCCTGGAGAGAATGGGGCTCTGAGAAAGTTGGAGGAGAGCCATGTCGGTTTCCACAGTCTGTGGGCAGCTGAGTGCAAATTGTGACAGTTTTCTGTCGCACTCTGGGGTAAAGGTGAGAGGTCTGGAAGCCACACCAGAGCCAGCCTCTCAAGATCATGCTTTGCTTCTCAGTGTACTCTGCCTCTAACCTGCTTGTGCTGCTCAATGACGGGATCCTTCGGAAGGAGCTTCGAAAAAAGCTGCCTGTGGTGAGGACTCTGCCAGGAACCAAGGGTGGGGAGCTCAGGGACTTGGGGAGCAAACAGTAGTGACCAGCATGTGTGTGGCAGATGCCATAGTCTCAGGGTGTGAGACATGTCTGCGTCCTTCTGAACCTCAGACCAATTGTCAGTTGTTCTCATCTCATGCGTGAAGGTTTAGACATGGGAGAGCCTGCCCCTGGCCAGCCAGCCTGTTAGCAGTGGAACTGGTGTTTGACCTCAGGCGTTGGGCTTGGAAAGGGGGCAGTCCCACCCGCTGGAGTGGCCCTCTTTCTCTAGGACAGCACTTGGGCTAGAGAAGCTCCCTGACCTCTGGGCTTCTTGCAGTCGCTGTCCCAGCAGAAGTTACTGACATGGCTGAGCGTGCTGGAGTGTGTGGAGGTGTTCATGGAGATGGGGGCGACCAAGGTGTGGGGTGAAGTAGGCCGTTGGCTCGTCATTGCCCTCATCCAGCTGGCCAAGTAGGTTGGGCTGCGGAGGGCAGGATTCAGGTGGGGTGACCTGGGCCAGCTATGAAGGTGCTCAGCAGAGCAGCCTTGCTACCTGCTTTCTAGCCACCTCCCCCTAACTATACCACACTCCCCAACTTAGGGCCGTGCTGCGCATGTTCCTGCTGATCTGGTTCAAGGCTGGCATCCAGACCTCACCCCCCATTGTTCCACTGGACAGGGAGACCCAGGCACAGCCCTTCGGTAAGCTGCTTCTTGGCCCTGGGGAAGGGTGGTACATTGGACTGATGTGTGGATTTGGAGCACATTTCCCATCAGCTTGGCACCCAGTTATTCAAAAGGGGGGGGGGGGAGGTTTGGGTAAAATCAGAACTTAAACTTGGAGTTTTTATTTGTTTTTGAGATCCTGGAGATCAAACCCAGGGCCTTGTACATGCTAGGCAATTGCTCTGCCCCTGAGCTTCACTCCCATTCCTGAACTTGGGACTTGTGGTCCCATAGTCCTTCTGTCTTGTGGGCTGCAGGAACTAGGGACACAACATCAACTCAAGGTAGGTGTCCTGCCAGCATTGTCTCTGGGCTTGGTTCTGTATCCTGAACCACAGCCTCAAGAGGCAGGGCACCTGGCTGCATTGGGCCCCTCCGTCAGCCTCAAGTCTCTCCCCTCAACTAGAATGGGGACAGTGATATACCTCCTACATGAACTTGACAGCAAAGGATTGAGAGAACATGGCCTCATGGTCCCGTGTCCCTGATAGATGTGGTTGTGCTGGGCTTCTCCCTTCCTTCCTCCAGTATCTTGGAAACCTAGGTTCTTGGTTGACTGTGCCTGTGAGTGATGATGGCCTCTTTCGGGGCCAGGGTAGGTTGCAGGCTGTTTCTCTCTGTGGAAAGATTACTTGTTGAACCACAGTCCCAGGGTATGATTTCCTTAGTTCGGCTGCTGCTAGAGGACAGGCTCCTGTGTTCTCCCAGTCTCTCCTCAAGCATTCCCTGCGCACATGTTTTCTGCAGGCTCTGTTAGGAACGTGTCTCTCTTATGTTCTTTCCTGTCTCTATCTGCTAGATGGTGACCACAGCCCGGGCAGCCAGGAGCCATCATATGTGGGGAAACGGTCCAACAGAGTGGTGCGAACCCTGCAGAACAGTAAGTGGAAGATGTAGCTCGACTGGGCACCTAGGTGCTGAGGTCAGTGTGAGCCCGAGGGACTGGCTTCTGTCAGCACCCGCTTTGGCTCCCGGTTCACTTACCTTGTCCTTCTGTTCTAGGCCCATCCCTGCACTCACGGCACTGGGGAGCCCCCCAGGAGCGGGAGATTCGGCAGAAACAGCAGCAGGAGGAGCTGAGCGCACCGCCTACCCCTCTGGGGCTTCAGGAGACCATCGCAGAATCTTTGTATATTACTCGGCCCCTGCTGCACTGTATCCTTAGTTGTGCTGGAGGTGGGTAGGGGAGGAGCTGAGCTGGACCCTACACTGGAGATATCCTTGACACCTTGACCGTCAGTGCTCAGCCTGGGCATATGGGGGCAGCGGTCATGGACACCCTGGTTACTGTCTGGTGTGGTGGATATGACTAGGTGAGAAGGGGTAAGGGATTTCTCTCCTTCCATGGGCTTTCTGCTTGGTGTGTGGCTGTCCCAGCCTATCCTTCTCAGGGACATAGATCGTCCTTGTCCCTATGTCCTTTCCCCACAGCCTGAGTCTCCTGAGTGATAGGAAGAACCTGACACGGAGGGAACGGCTAGAGCTGCGGCGCCGCACAGTCCTGCTGCTGTACTACCTGCTGCGTTCGCCATTCTATGACCGCTTCTCTGAGTAAGGATCCCCAGATCAGCAGGGCTGGTCGATGCCACTCGGAGAGGGTTGGGGTCAGCTGAGTACCAGCTGGTTCAGAAGCAGCCTCCAGAGCCACCCAGCCTGCCCTCAAAAAGTCCTCAGGCCAGTGTGAGCTTGCATACTTCTCAAGAGACCACCGAGGCCGGATAAGAGCTCTGCAAGGCCATAGTCGATGCTGACCACCCATCTCCAGCTCCTTACCATAGGGTATCCACTTTTCAGAGCAGGTGCTGCACTTCCGAGGAGCTGGGCGCCTAAACAGGCTCCAGCTAGGCTGTCACTGCTGGGCCCCTCCCACACTGATCAACCAGGAGGGAGCAGAGCGCTGCCTCAGGCAGAGAACCCTCTCAAATAGGCCTGCCAGGGCACCTGTGAGCTGTGGTGGAGTGTCTGAGCAGGGGCTGGGCTGGGAGACCTGGGCTCATTGCCACACCTGTAAAATGGGGCCAGCGATGGTGCTCATCTGATAGGTTGTTGTGGGGGTGAGGTAACTGTGTGTGTTTAGCTGTGCTTGGTATGTAATGAGCATGTGATAAATGTTAGGTGCTGCTGGGGAGCAAACCCAAGGCCTCAAACATACAGGAAAGTGTTCCGCCCCAGAACCACAACTCCAACCCACTCATGTTCTCCAGTGTTCCCAATATCATGTCTTGCCCCAAGCTCCCGTACGGGAAGTCCCATGTCTTAAAACAAGCAGCCTCTCTTTGAGGTAGAGAGGACCCTTAGGACTGTGTCCCCTTCCTAGGCCCCTGATTACACTTGAGCGTTGGCTTGTGAGGCTTCTATGTGGCTCATGCTCTACCAGCTTACTGCCCTCCGCAAACGTCCAGGGCACGGGCCTTGCTCTGAAGTGACTCTTAAGCACTGTTGTTGAATGCCAATGGTGGGAAGATGGAAAAGAGGGAAGGGAGAGTGGAGGAGAGTGTTGTTAGTTGGTGCCTGCCAAATGACAAGCTGACAGCTGTGGACAGGTGGAGGGCTAGTGGCCTAGCCCCTTATTTTCTGAAATGCCTGGTGGTCAGGGATGGTCTTTAGCTCCTGGTGTGCAGGGAGCCCCCACAGGCCCCCCTTTGCATGCTGTTTCTCTTCCCCCATTCAGAGCCAAGATCCTCTTCCTGCTCCAGCTCCTTGCAGACCACATCCCTGGCGTTGGCCTAGTGGCAAGTAAGTATGGGTAAGACAACATGGATGTGCAATGTCCCTGAGGCACGAAGGGCCCTGTCTTACTGTTTGTTCTTTTTTTTTTTTTTTTTTTTTTTTAGTTTGATTATTGGGCAGTCAGGAGTGAGCCCAGAATGAGTATTGGGAGCTAACAGCTCCAGGGCCTAAGGAGGCCCATGGAGGTGGGTAGGTGGCTAGAAGAGTGTATATAGGATTATTAGGCCACATCAGGTTGGTGAGCTTCCTCCACCCTCTGAGACCAGAATAATTGGAAGCAGTCTCATCTGGTAAGGAATGGAGGGGCCTTAGGGACTGTCTGAGTACCGGACCATAAAGGAAGATATGGCGGTCATGCTACTTGTCTCCCCAGGACCCAGGGGTCCTTGTCTGTAAATCTGTTCTCCAGCATAGCAGCAGAGAGGCAGGAGGTACAGCAGGTGGAACAGTGATGAGATGCTGTGCAGGTGGTGTGTTAGAACAGGGCACAGGGCAGTAACTCCTCCTTCCCTCTCGCCGCAGGGCCGCTCATGGACTACCTGCCCTCCTGGCAGAAAATATATTTCTACAGTTGGGGCTGACGATATGCAGGAGCTGGTGCAGAGTGGGGCATGTGCTGTGCTCTATTGCCCTGGGCAGAGCTTGTCTCGGCTCTCCAGTTCCCCAGGCCCCTCTTCTCTAATAAAACTGACTCTGGTAGTGTCCAGCATGCGGCTCTGTGTCCATTAGCAAGCACCTCCCCTAGCAGCTCTGCTTTTCAACCCTGGTCACTGCATCTGTCCCTCTTCACACCCTCCTGGGATGAAGCCACAGCAGCCTGCTCCTTGTCACTGGGTAAGACATCTCCATCAGGTCCAGGGGCAACTTCATCTCAGCACAGCAGGCTGTGACTTTGCCTCTTCCAGCATGGGTCATCATTTGCCTCAGCTGCATGACTAGACACTTCTTTCTCACTGGTCCCTGGTGAAGACAAGCGGAGCTAGGCCAGTAATGACCGTGGTCCAGCATGCCTTCTAGCCAGGGCCTCTATTTACCCTTCCCCCTACAGGGCTGAAGAACAAGCCCAATGAGAAGCTCTTCTCTGCAGCAGAAGTCAGATCTGTCAGAGCTGGGGCAGGGGATAGAGCATGAACCTGAGTCCGTAAGAAAGAAGTGGTTTCCGGGTGTGTGTGCTAGAGTTCCCCTCCCTGACACGCTCCCTGTAGGCTGACTATGGCTCAGGCAGATTGAGATTGCTGGAACCATGCAGGCTACTTGGAGAAGACAGAGGATGGCCTGGCAGGGCTCTGTGGACCTGAACTTCTCTCCTCAGTATTTTTCCTTCCCTCTCCTCCTCTGTCCTTCCCTTTCGGTCTTTTTAAACGAGTCTGACTTGGTCAAACTCATGGCAGTGTCTCGGTGCGGGATTATAGCTGTCACACCTGCCTGGCTCCTGTCCTTTTGTTGTGTGGACTATTCCTGGCAGGGGTGCTCCTTGACAGTGGAGCGCACTGTCTGTACCTGTTCTTCAGGCCACCCCTCCTACAAGATGCCCTCATGGTCCCAGCCTTAACCTGACGTGCTTGCCATGTGATTCTGAAAACCACCAGCCCCGGGCCCTGAGCTGGGGCAGCAGAAAGTAAGACTTGTCAGTTTGTCCGCTCTAGAACCTGTGACCTCTGCTTAGCCTGACAAGCATCCTGGGTGTCTGCACTGTAGCAGGCTTTGGTGCCATGCAACAGAGTTCGAGCCCTGCAGTTCCTGACTACCAGAGGAAATACGTGTACCTACTACGCTGAGATCTTGGAGATGGAGGCAGTATTTGGCAGCAGTGGCAAGCATCTCCTGCAGTGATGGCAAAGGAGGGCAAAGCCTGCCAGCAGGCTGGGAAGCTCCAGAACTGTAGCAGTTCTGTCATTTTAGAGCCGGATAGAGACCCCCGCCACCAGGCTACACCCCCAGCCCGCAGCCATCAGTGTCCAGTCAGCAGCCTGGGTAGGGAAGGCTGTGTGCGGAAGGTGGCTTGTATGGGGTCTTGGTGGAGCCCAGCACTTAAGTGCTGCAGTGTGGGGGCATAAGGAGTGGGTGGCATGATGTCGGGGAAGGTTTGGCAGAGCATCGTGCTTGGCATGGTACAGCGGGAGGAAAGGGGCTGTTGACTGTCTCTCTAGCACTTCGTGGTGAATGGTTGGTGGGCAGAGATGAGAGTGGCCCTGATATTGGGCATGACATGGGAGAGGCTCAGCCAAGGCAGTGGGGCAAAGGATGGATGTCCCCAGCAGACCACGGGGACTGTGTGGGTAGGGAGGACTATGGTGGCCTCTAGGAGTCAAGAGTTGGATAGCGGATGGAGTCCTGGCAGGGACGTGTGGGACAGGAGGCTTCCCTGGGACGTGAAAGGGAAGTGCTGATGCCGAACCTTGGAACTTTGTCCTTTGTGAGGTAGTCCTGAGAACTGGCAGCAGGTTCTGTCCTGGGGGAGGAGCAGGCAGAAGTCACGGCAGGGACTATAGGAGATGGTTCTCGCCATGCTTGGGGCTCTGTACCCCAGGGCTGGGCTCAGTCTCTTCCTTTTTTACCTCATCCTGGCAGGCGCACTTCTTCGACCTCAGCCTCAGAGGTAAGGCCAGAGCTTCAGGGCCTAGAAGACTCTGGAAGAGGCTGTCCACTATCCTGGGAAGGGCTAGTTTATGAAAGTCTTCACCCTGGAGTGTCCCTTACAGGGAAGTGGCAATGGCCTTTGGGGTCAGGACTCAGCACAGCAACGTTTCCCATAGGTCTCAGCGATCTGTTCCTGAGGAATTCTCAGCCCCGCTGGAGCTCCCACAGCCACTCTCAGGCCTGATGGATGGTAGTATTTCTCTTTCCTTCCCCACCCTCCACAGCAGGTGCCCCTAGAGGTCCCCCAGGGCCAAGCCCTGTGCCTCCTACTCCCAGACCGCCTTTTCAGAGCCCCATTCCAAATCAGCAGCTCTCTTCTCCACCGTTATCCTCTTCTCTCTTTAGACTATGGGGTCAGACCCAAGCACCCGTGGCCAGGAGGGGCCCGACCCCTTCTCTCTCAGGCCCAACAGCGCAAGCGGGACGGGCCCAACATGGCTGACTATTACTATGACGTGAATCTGTGATGGGAACCCCACATAAAGCTATTCTGGGCAGCAAATGCTTGGCTCAGCAGCCTGTGTGTAGCACGAAGGCCCCGTAGGGGTCCGAGTAAATGCGCCCACTGTGGTCCAGACAGGAAATAGCACTTTAATAGTAGTAGCCAGGTGACAAGACAGTGATGAGATGGCGGGGCAGCTGAGAAGCCTCCTTTCCCTGCTAGGCAGGGCCTGCTGTAGCCCTCTCCTTCTGAGCCTGTCAGGACCAGCATGCTGGCCAGGCTGGAGGCTGAGGTGCCCGGAGGCCCCACAGATGAAAACACAGTCTTCACTGTCACCTCTTGCCATTTCCTTACTGGAAAGTCCTTGGGAGGTGGTTGGGCTCAGCCTGAGCTCAGGGCTCTAGGTGAGGAGGGGACAGGGGACGATGGGCACTTCCAGGTGGCATGGGCTTTGTCAAGGTAGGAGCCAAGAGCCAGGGCCCCTAGCATGAAGCCAAGCCCAGGATGGGGCACTGCCTCTATTCCTAGGAGATCCCTTTGTGGCCAGAGGCCTGACCCCCCCTCAGGCCTCCCCCTCCCCCAGTCCCCAGAGAGCCTATACCGTCCTCCATAGATGAATCTAACCCCATATATTACAATAAACTGCATCTGCCTCTCCCCACACCCCTGCCCCCCACCCAAACAGCCCTCACTTCCCCATTCTCTGGTGGCCGTGCCACATCCTGTCAGCAGCCAGCTGTCCTAGCACTGGCCTGGGGCTGAGGGGCTGCAGAGTGGCGGGGCTGCTACTCCAGGTAGATGTCTTCTGTAGGACAAGTGTACTCCACAAACTGCTTGTAGAACTGCTGAAATGCACGCCTGGAAAATGGAGGACACTGGAATGAGCAGGGGCCTCGAGCCAGGCTCTTCAGGGGGAGCTTTGAGACTTTGGGGTAACTTAGCTGTTGTCTGGGCAGTTATTTCCCAAAGAGAAAAGGACCAGGTGAGAAAGGGCCCCGTAGCTGATCAACAAGGAAGTGGCCCAGAAACCAGGCTCACTTGGGACCCTCCAGCCCCTTCCAGGAGTGGGGCTTCCGGATCTGGCAGAGGACAGGGCTCATGCTGGCACTGAAGCAGCTCCCCGGCTTTGTGACCTGGGCAGGTCCTTACCAACACACATACACGTACCCCACAGACTCTGCCAGGGCTTTGGTGGAATCTTCAGACACAAAGACATGGCAGGCAAACCTGTGGTCAGCGGGGTGCTTGGTGATGAACCCAAAGTACCTGTGGGAAGGTAGGCACTATGAGACGGGATCCTGACCCATGCCTACCCACGATGGCCCGAGACTACCAATGGGACTCTTGTGTCCGCCTCTCATACTTACTTGTTGTTCTTTGGATGGTATCCACAGAAAGAGATGTTTTTTAGCTGGAAAAAGTGGCTACATTTATTTCCCTACAGGAGGGAAGAGAGAAGCAAGATGGGTCAACTTGCAGGGCTAAGCAGGCAGGAGGGGAAATGACGGGGGGAGGCACAGAGGGAGAGGAGAGGCATGGCAGGCAAGAAGGCCGGGGCTTGAAGGACATCACCTTGGCCTCCTGAGCATCATCAGCTTTGACACCGATCTTGACACCCCTAACGCTGATCTCAAGCACACAGCTGGAGGGCGGGTTAAAGTGCACGGTGAGCCGGCGGGTGGTGGCGATCTGCGAGAGGGACAGGCCATGGTGGAAGCTCATGTCTCCAGACCCCAGTGTCGTCCTCCCCAATAGCATGGGCTGGCTGAGAACAGGCACCCCCCAGGAAGAAGCGGAAGTACCTTTTGCATAGCGGCACAGAGGACATCATTGCCCTTGTGATAAGGAACCTGGACGGAGCCCAGGAACTTGACCCGGAACTGGTCAATCCAGTCGCTGTTTTTGGCAAGGGCTGGAAAGACAACATGCAATAAAGAGCAAGAGAGCCATCAGCAGGGGGCTCAGGCAAGCCCCAAAACAGTGTGGCATGTGGAGTGACTCAGGCAGCACGGGGCATCACCACCCCCACGTGCCCCGACCTGGCTGGGCCTCACCTAGTAACTGTGTAATGGAACTGACTGAATTCTTTATTCCCTGCCAGGCTAAGACCCGGAGTGTATGTTCACTGGCAAGTCAGTTGGACAGATACAGGGGTGGGTGGGACCAGGCTGGGGGGAAGGGCACTACCTGCCATGTGCTCAGGCTCCTTGGTGACCTCAATGGCATAGTAGGCAGGAAAGACACCTCGGGCTCCAGTGCGCATGTTATAGGCCTCGTACCAATAGTCTTCCGCCTGCAGCTCCACCAGCAGAGGGTCGTCTACTTCTAGCTCAAGTTCGTCTTCATGTCGAGGCACAAACCTGTCCCCAAGGGCATGTGAGGCACTGCTCACCAGAGTTCTTTAGCTAGGCCCAACCTGGGGTCCTGAGCCACTGACATTTGCAAAAATACCCACATCTGTGTCACAGTGATGCCTCCTAGGGGACACACAACACTCAGACATAGGTGTGTCACCCAAAAATCCAGGGGCCAGGGAGAAAGGGAGCCTCGGCCTTGAGAAGCTGAAAGGCCATGGAAGGTCTATGCAGGGTGGGCATTTTTCTGGTCCCTAGCCAGGTTAGGTATGTAGTCCTAGCTTCCTCATGACTCCTCAGCCTTTGCCTTGAGCCGAGTCCCCCAGCAGTTGACGGGAGCCAGTGGTGGACTGGCAAAGGCAAGGAGGGGGTGCCTCTCACCTGAATATAGCCCGATGGGTTTGCTCATGCTCCTCCCCGTTGATGACGCAGGAGAACAGCCCGAAAGACTCAGCACCTGTAGGAAGGCAATAGGCTGGAGGAGGTGGCCTCGGCTTGGGACAGGTAGGGAGCTCTGTCCTGCTCTCAGGCAGACTATGTGGTGTCTGAGGGTCATTCCATCTCAGCTCTCCCTGGCCTGGTCCCCCCACTGCCCGCTCGCCGACTCACTGGAGGAGCGAGAGCGGCCACTCATGAAGACGTTGAGAAACTTCTTAGAGAAGTGGACGTCAGGCTCATCCGGTGTGGAGTCCTCCGAGAGGCAGGTGGGAGGCCGGGGCTGAGGGGCCTCCTCGTATTCCTCACCAATGGCCGACTCGTAGGGAGAGGAGGCAGAGGCACAGTTGTCATAGACAGTGGCAGAGTCGCTTTCATCACTGTAGTCTCCGAAGCATGGCCGCAGGCTCACCAACTCAAGCTGGGCATGCTCATCCACCACCAGAGTGTACTTGACCGAGTCGTAGGACAGGGCGCTGGTGTCCGAGCTCAGTGAGGCCCTCGGGGGCGGAGGGGGCTCCCCGCGGCTTCCCCGCCACCCTCCGACTGGCAGCTCAGCTCGCTCTGGGGAGGACAGGCAGTCGAAGCCCTCATCCTCTTCACTGATGGAGGGGTGTGGCCGCCCTGCCGTCGCAGAGTAAGCAGCAGGGTCTGGATCCGAGCTAACTGACATCCGGCTCTCGGTGGGTGGCAAGAAGGAGGAAGTGGGTTCTGCTGGGTCTGGGGGTCTCTGCACTGGGGTCAGGTAGATCTCCTCAGTTGCCTCGAGCCGCACATCTGCCTGATAGTGGATGCGGTCTCGATGGGCATGGCCCCGGCCACCAGGTGCAGTGGCGGGGGGACCGCTTGGAGGTGCCATCTGAGTGGCGGCACTCCGGCGACAAGGGCTGTCGGTGGAGGTACCTCGATCCTTGGTGGGAACGGGACTGCTCTGGGGGGGCAGCTCATCGCTCAGACAGATGTGTTCATGTGGAGGTGTCTGCTCCCCTGGAGGACAGGCAGGTTGGTGCTGAGAGCAGGACCCAGGTCCCCTGTCCCCAGACACCTGTCCCCTCCTCTTCCCAAGCTGTCCTCTGTCAGCAGGCTCCGCAGCCAGGCACTGGCTCCCAGATGACCTGAGCCCAGGGGAGCCAGGTGAAGAACTGTCCCACTCGGGGAGGGAGGCTTGACTTACCTGTCTTGAGGGGGGAGGACGAGCGAGAGACACGATCCTGCCAGCTGTGCTTTTTCCCTAAAGAATTATTATTCAGCGTGTCCTGTGCAAAGAACAAAAGGCTCTTATGAAGAAGCAGTAGTCAGCAGTGCCCGGCACAGGGAGGCCCCGGTCCTGCCCCCCTCAGGCCAGCCCGAGGCTGTTCCCATCCATCTTGCCTTGCCAAAGGCCTCTCTGCCAACCTCCCTCTAACAGGCAGGCGGGGTGGGAGATTAGCACCCTCCCCACAGGCCTGCTGGCTTGGAGCCAACCCTCAAGGTTTGCAATAGTGGTGTTTGGCCAGTGTGGGTGCTGAGGAGGGGCTGTAGAGGGAGAAGTACAGCACCCAGGAAGTCAGACAACAGCCCCGGGCACTGAGGGTAGACATGTTCAGGTGCTCACACCCAGCCCCGGTGTGACCCCCTGTCCTGGAGCTCAGAAAGCCGGGGTCCAGCAGAATGGCCAGGACACTCTGGCACACAGAAGGGTCTTCCCTGGAGCTGGCCTCTGGGCCTGGATGAATCATTCAAACCATGACTCCATAACACTCACCCCCACTTCAAACCACGTGACTGAGGAATGACAGATGTAGAGTCAGCAGCCCTCCTTCCTGGATCTCCCAGAATGCTCGTGTATCCCACATTCTTGGCCTCCTGAGACCCCTGAACAGTGCCCATGCACAGGCTCTCCACAAACAATTGGGCTCCCTCCCCAGGGAACACCATAAGCAACACATGCATTCATGAGTTGGGCTGCCAGAAGCCATGCCAGAGGATACTGGGAAAGGGATCAACCCCTTCCTTGCGGGCCCTGCACCAGCCATCAGCTCCTCTCCCAGTACCTCTCCTGCCTAGGCCTATAAGACAATGGGTCAAGGCAGCCCTCTTTGGCATCCAGCCACCCACCAGGGGCTCCAGGCCCCCAACTCAGCCAAGCAACTCCACACCCCCATCTCTATTGCTGCTCTCTGGAATGCCCAGCTGCTGAGATGTCCAACTGGAGGCAGAGCCTGAATTCCCATTCCCACCTTCATCCCATTTCAGATGCTCTCTTCTCCAGGCCCTGCTGCTGC